GAGAGAGACAGGAAAAGCCACAGAGAGAAGGCAACATTTCTAGGTTTCTAGAGGCAGAAGAGCATAATGGCTGGAAGTACAGCCTCTGGAGCCAGGCTGCTTCTATTTGAGTCTTGCCTCTGTCATTTACTAGTTATTCCTGGACAAGTTATCCTCTCTCTGCCTGTTTCTTCTCCTGTAAAATGAGCATACGATAATATCCTGACCTCATTGTGAGAATTAAATGAGTTAACATGCACAAAATGCTTCAAAGTTGCCTCCCACTCAATGCTCGTACATGTTAGCTCTTATTATTATTGCTACTGTTTCTTGACGTGGCCTTGAACGCTGAGTTCAATAGACAAGAATGAGCAGGTGGTTATTGCTGGGAAAATAAGCACTGTGGGAGAAGGCGCAGCGCTATGAAGGTGCAGGTGCATTTAGAGAGGAGAGTGGTTGCCTGTGACTAGAACAAAGGGTTCTGGGGCATGTGCCAGAACAAAACTGGAAAAGAGTGGGGCCAGATTAAAGGAGGCCTTGGAAGCACGTAAAGGAGCTGCTGATACAGTCTTCCATCACTGGTATTCTGGCTTGAAGTACCTGTGGGAATCTCTAACATATATACTTTTTGAAACTTCTGGGGGCCCCATTTACTTGGTGTCATGAGCAAGTTAGAAACATGAAGAACGTATAGAAATGTCTCCCTGAAGGAGACAACCAGGGAGGTGACAGGATTGAAAATGCTTAACTGAATGAAAACATACAAAGCCCAGGGTGGGAGAGGGGCTAGTTGGTCATATAGAAGAAGATTAGACTTCTAGGCAACTTCAAATTATGGAATTTTCTCCAACATGTGGAAGATTTTGGAAAGACACAAGAATGAGTTTTCTAACCATATAGAGCCATCATGAGATGGAGCAGCTTGCCCTGTGAGGTGTCCAGTGACTGGAAGTACACAAGCGCATAGAAGTTGCTGGGTGAGCACTCACATGGTGGGGGGTGGGGGCGGGGAATTCTGCCTGGGTGGGCCCATATTATCTATCCAAGTGTCTACATGTACATGGCCTCCAGGCCAGAACTCATTTTTAAGTTTCTGCAGTTTCAGTCTTGGGTATTTCCTAATACCATTCAGCCTCCTTCCTCTGCTTTGCTGTAATAAAACTGCAGTCCCTGCCTCGTGGGCTAGGAGGGTCCTTACAAGTGGCCAACTCCACAAAGCCTGGGCTTAACGGGAAAGACAGGGCATGCTGAATCCCTCTTGCAGACCCAGCTCCTACTTTATCCAACTTGGCTTCTTTTAGGCCTTTGTCTGAAGAAGGGAGCTGCTTCTTTATGGCTGTTATCATGTCTGTACCTAAAAGTTCCCAAACCCCATTATTTCATTCTAGAGCCCATTAGTTTTCATTCTGGAGGCTTTTAAAAGTCAAGTCTCATTGGCATAGATTCATTGGTACACAAGACAGAAGCAACATGGAAAGCCTCAGATGATGTTTCCTTGAACAGATGCTTAAGGGCTTGTATAAGGCTTCCAAAAATAACATTAAAATGGTATTTCCACAGAAAGGTAGAGAATCTGAGGAAACAAACATTTTCTCCAAAATCTGGCCAATAATCCTTGCTGAGGATGCTGATTTTCCCTGTGTTTTATGCTGGACTGTGCAAAATAAACACTGTGCACAAAGAGCACTAATTGCTTCGTTTATTCTTCCATTTAGCTAGGGAAGCATCAGCGCTTGTTCAGCCTCAGAATGGAAAATTACATGTTAGAGAGAAAATAGCCACTCTGAAGGAATGACAATGTGATCCAGGTTCCGCTCGTTCACATATTTTATTTATCCAGTAAAGGAAGAAAAAGAAAGACAGAACTCCAAGGTGGCACAAATTCCGGGAGAACACCAAGGTCACATCTTCCATTTTCCTCAGTCTAATTTAAATCCACAGACTAAATAAAAGTGCAAGGGATGAGATGAGCATCTTGCTGGAGAATAAAACATCTTGTATGTGAAAGAAAACCCCTTTTAAGCTTAAGAAACCCAGGGATTTCTTAGTTGAGGATGGCTTACTTTTGTCCTTATAAAATCTGACGAC